GTGGTTTCTCCAGCAAGCTGGTTCTAAAGACAAGGAGCCAGTGCATGTGTGTGCTAGTCATTACACCAGGACGTTCATGGTCTTCATTTCTGTTAATCCACAATAACTCTGTGAAGTTGCTATTACTAGGTCCACTTTAAAAGTGAGAAGAGAGATGAGACGAAAACATTGAGCATCCCAGGATTGAAACCAGTAAATGGAATTAGACTCAAATCCAGGTCTTCTGATTTTAAATCTTAAATTCTTTCCATTATACTGCTATATTGCATTGCTTCTTTTTGAGATGATGGTGACAAATTACAGAAATCAATGCCAGATGACTGTGCCTATTACTCAGTTTGAAAACACAAAAGCTCTCCCTTTGTAGGACCTCAGACTCAAATCTCTGTGTTCTTAAACTCTGTGCTGTTAAGAATTATACTCCCATTTTTAAATCAGTTTAGGCAAATTATCAGTAAATCAGGAAATTTGCTGCTCTAAGTCAAATTCTCAAATAGACCCCCATTATCTAGATATTATCTGTGCCTAGACCCATTCCATTATCACATAAGTGACGATATAGGGGAGCCACACTGTATTAGACAGTTTGCTTTTCTTTATAACAGAATATCTGAAACTGGATAGTTTATAAAAATATGAAACTTATTTCTTATAGTTTTGGAGGCCGGGAAGTCCAAGGTCCAGGGGCCACATCTGGAGAGCGCCTTCTTCTTGGTGGGAGGTCCCTGAGCAACCCAGTTTACCCCATGGCAAGAATGGCAAGTCAGCTCTTACATGCTCACTTGCTCTCCTTGTAAACCCCCTTGATGACCCATTACACATTAACCCATTAGCCCATGAATAACCCATTCATGAGGGCACAGTCCTCACGATCCAATCACCCCCTAAAGTTTCCACCTTTCAAATACCACGAATGTCCCTTTAAAAAGTGGGAGGCTGCCTTTTTCCCACCCCAACCTTTGCCCTCCCTCAAGTGACACCACAAGTAAAGGCTGAACCCCGCTCAACCCCAGATGTGCAGAGGGCTGGCCACCTTCCCCCTCCCTGGAGGCAGGGCTCCTGCACACATCTGGAGCTCCAAGCTCAGCCGCTGCACAGAGCCTCAGCAGAGGCAGGCCACAGCAGGTGGACAGCAGAGCAGCAGAGCAGCAGCTTTTGTTAAGTCCTGAACATTATTTCAGTGCTGCTCTTTAGATTTAAGCTCCCGCAGTTCTTTCCATAATAGCTGAGAGAAATAAAAAACACTGCCTCCACACCCCCCTCCCTGCCTCCTCCTCGTCCTCGTGGTGGCATGCTGTCTGCCAGTCCTCGGGGCCTGGCCTGCATGTGCATGTGGTTGTTCAGCCCCTCTCTGAGGTTCAGCTGGGATTTGGACAGCGCGGCAGCAGTCCCCACAGTGACCTTAC